CAGTTATTATAAAACATAGCTCTTAATCTAAATATTACTTGAGTATATCATAATGGGGCTTATCCACATTATGCTTGACTGGATTTTATTCCCGTGGCTATTTTTTCCGCCTTTAAAAAATTATACAGGTAATATGTAAATATACTTGTTAAAAATAATTCTGGTTAAGGCTTAGGTTCCCTTTGTCCTGCTGCTATTTCTATTATAAAATATGGTTCTTCATCATTCATTGTCTTATAAAATGCATGTAAGTATAACATTTCTTCATCTACAAAGGACACAAGGAATTGAAACTCTTTCCTCCGAAAGCTTTCTTGTGTGGGTCTAGTTTACACAGTTGGCTGTGTTCCATCTGTCTGCCTCCTGCAGGCCTTAGGTCCTGCCTACCTTCTTAATGCTTCCAAATCAGCTCAGCTGGGGCTCTGCATCTTATTTATCAGGCATAGCATCATCAGCAAAGCATTTAATAGTCAGTTCAAGTGCTGTTTGCTTATGCAGGAAACAGTAGGAAAGGCAGCTTCCCCTTCAATGTCATAGAAGCTGGTGGGAGGCAGGGCTTCTGGAGGACTTGGGGCTAGAGGTGCTCCACCGGGAGCCAGGGAAAAATAAAACTTTCCTTCCTTGTGTCATCTGTACTTTCAGCTTGGGTTCTGCAGGGATTTTCTGATGTACTTGATTCAGGGATCTTGTCCAGCGTGGAATTAAGAAAGGCAGGACAGATTGTTTTGATAGCATTATTTTAGGCAAGGCCTTTGCTGGAAGTAAGTAGCCTTGTTAAAAAGGTGATGATTACTTGAAGCAGTTCCCTTACAGTGTTAGGAAGTAGCATATCATCACTTGCCGGGAAAGCCTGAACCATTGGTCCGGACCATGTAAAATTTGAGTGGTGAGCGTACAACCTATTTGAGTAGTACCTACCATGACATCGCCTGCTGCCAGAGGAAGGCAGGGAACAGCTTGTCACCCACCAATCCTCCTTCCAAGCCCTGGGGCACTGAAGTGACCAGCCTGCCTTTTACTGCTAGTGCCACAGCGTGCACCAGACAAGGATGGCTGCAGCTGCTCTTGCCAAGAATGGGGGCTCCGGAATTCTAGGAAGGGGTTAGGGTAGGGCATCCTGGCCGACTAGAATAGAGAGATGGTGGAGGATGGGAGTGCAGGGTTAGGGTATCTGAAACTGCATTTGCAAAATAAACAGTGTTTACTCATATTGAATGTCCCTGGAGGATAGCTTTGGTAAAGGCTGCTGGAATTATAGAGCTCCCTATGTCACTCTTTAGCACTGCCTCCCTCCGCTTGCCACCTCTTAACCCTTTTCCCACTTATCACAGGGTGAAGCTGAGGCTCAGGAAAGGTGAGGAGGCCCAGGAAAGGAGCCATATTTCCGTCACTGGGGTTTCAGGATCTGAATAAGAACGGATTGAGTCTGTCAGTAATAATAACCATTGGCTGCAATTAATGTTGGCTGAAGAAGAGTAAAACTTTGGGATGGCGAAGGATAAAGGAATCTTTTATGCCAGAGTGAACAGATATTTTTGAGATTCTCAGCTGAATTGTTTTAGAACATTTTAAAAGCTTTGTTT